GCCTCGATGGGATGCTTGCGATTCAGGTTGTGCTTGTTTTTTCGTCAATTTTAAATGTAGAAAAGGTGATTTTAACAAGATTATAACGATTACTGTGACCTGTGACTGTTTTAAACTCGGCTAATGTATTTTACGCTAAGTGTTGAGATGTTCGGCTGAGATGGCAGACATTTTCAGCTCAAGAAGTAGTCCTATTAGGTTGAGTGTTCTTGGGCACAGGCAACTACGATGCTGCTTTCGGTTTCCTGGGATTACCTCAAACATAATGTCGACAGGTACTTCCCATTTTTTATTCCAAAGAAGAAAAGCAGTAAAATAAAAACAAATGCCCCCCCTAAATTTTTCTGGCCCAGTCTGCCCCCCCCCCCCCTAACAAAGAACCCTGGCGTTACCACTGCATTTGTTTAGGTAATTTTCTAATGGCCGGTATTATAAAACACTGAATCGATGATTGAGTTTCAACCTTGGATTGATTCCATGGAAATTAATAGGATTCAACCGAAGGTTGGAACTCTACCATCGGTTCAGTGTTTTATAGTACCGGCCCTAAGTCAAGTGAAATTCAATTCCGTTGAATGTAATGAAAATGTCAGCCAATTTTTCAAAGTACCTAACAAATTTTGAAAAAATGGAAAAAAGCAACTCTCTTTTACTGCTTTCTTGTTCAAAAGACTATTTCTAGGGGGGGGGCAAATGCCCCCCCTTGCCCCCCCTTGCCCCCCCCCAAACGACGCCCATGGCCGTCACTTGATCGATACTGTTCAGTGATGAAATTAGATGAGACATCAAGAAGCGGCAAAAAAAGTTACCTAGATCCTCAAAATTTCAATTATATCGGGTGACGCGTTCCGGAATTATCACCTGGGTCAAACGTTGTGGGACACCCTGTATAAATAGATGTGGTGGAAAAAAAAGAAAAAAAATTTCTCAATTTAATCTAGTGTGATCCACTTTTAATGAATACACCGTGATACACGTATATAAAGTTAGCAGTGCAAAGTCAGCAGTGCAAAATTTTTATGACTGGAAAAATTAGTGCTATTTAAGTGCTAATTAAATGCCAAGTTCACAAATTTTGTGCTCTTGTAGTTTCCGAAATATGGACTGCACTGCTAGCTACCCGTTAAAGATAGCAACGCTGTGCACTACTAGCTTTATGCAGTACCTACACATATTGAGTTTTCATGAAAGAAGGGATTGGAAAAGTTTTCGACATAGGAATAATTTAGTGCTAATTAAGTGCTAATTAAATGCCAAGTTACCAAATTTTGTGCTCTTGTAGTTACCGAGATATAGCCTGCACTGCTATACCTGTTAAAGATAGCAGTGCAGCATCCAGGAATGATACAGGAAAGTGGTAGCGTGATATAAATAGGAAAAAAATTCAATGCTATTTAAATGCTACCTTTTCCATGAACAAAATTTCTATTTTCAGCTTTTTTTCGCATATTTTTTAAAAAACAACGCGGTGCACTGCTAGCTTTATGCAGGACATAGGAATAATTTAGTGCTAATTAAGTGCTAACTAAATGCCAAGTTACCAAATGTTTTGCTCTTGTAGTTTCCGAGATAACGCCTACACTGCTATACCCGTTAAAGATAGCAGTGCACCACGTTGTTTTTAGAAAAATATGCGAAAAAATCTGAAAATAGAAATTTTTTTCATAGAAATGGTAGCATTTAATTCTCTTCATCATTTATATCACCCTACCACTTTCCTGGATCATTCCTGGATGGTGCGCTGCTATCTTAAACGGGTAGCTAGCAGTGTAGGCCATATCTCGGAAACTACAAGAGCACAAAATTTGTGAACTTAGCATTTAATTAGCACTTAATTAGCACTAAATTATTCCTATATCGAAAACTCTACCAATCCCTTCTTTCATGAAAACTCAATATGTGTACTGCATAAATCTAGCATTTCACAGCGTTGTTTTTAAAAAATATTCGAAAAAAAGCTGAAAATAGAGATTTTGTTCATGGAAATGGTAGCATTTAATTAGCATCTAATTTTCTTCATAATTTATATCACCCTACCACTTTTCTTGATCATTCCTGGATGGTGCACTGCTATCTTTAACGGGTAGCTAGCAGTGCAGGCCATATCTCGGAAGCTATAAGAGCACAAAATTTGGTAACTTGGAATTTAATAAGCACTTAATTAGCACTAAATTATTCTAAAGTGGAAAGCTCCACCAACCCCTTCTTTCATGAAAACTCAATATATGTACTGCATAAAGCTAGCAGTGCACCGCGTTGTTTTAAAAAAATGTGCGAAAAAAAGCTGAAAATAGAGATTTTGTTAATGGAAATGGTAGCATTCAAATAGCATTTAATTTTTTTTTCATAATTTATATCACGCTACCACTTTCCTGGATCATTCCTGGATGGTGCACTGCTATCTTTAACGGGTATAGCAGTGCAGGCTACATCTCGGAAACTACAAGAGCACAAAATTTGGTAACTTGGCATTTAATTAGCACTTAATTAGCACTAAATTATTCCTATGTCGAAAACTCTCCCAATCCCTTCTTTCATGAGAACTCAATATGTGTACTGCATAAGGCTAGCAGTGCACCGCGTTGTTTTTAAAAAAATATGCGAAAAAAAGCTGAAAATAGAAATTTTGTTCATGGAAATGGTAGCATTTAAATAGCATTTAATTTTTTTCATAATTTATATCACGCTACCACTTTCCTGGATCATTCCTGGATGCTGCACTGCTATCTTTAACAGTTATAGCAGTGCAGGCTATTTCTCGGAAACTACAAGAGCACAAAATTTGGTAACTTGGCATTTATTTAGCACTTAATTAGCACTAAATTATTCTTATATCGAAACCTCTTCCAATCCCTTCTTTCATGAAATCTCAATATGTGTACTGCATAAAGCTAGCAGTGCACCACGTTGTTTTTAAGAAAATATGCGAAAAAAAGCTGAAAATAGAAATTTTGTTCATGATTATGGTAGCATTTAATTAGCATTCAATTTTCTTCATCATTTATATTACCCTACCACTTTCCTGGATTATTCCTGGATGATGCACTGTTATCTTTCACGGGTAGCTAGCAGTGCAGGCGATATCTCGGAAACTACAAGAGCACAAAATTTGTGAACTTGGCATTTAATTAGCACTTAATTAGCACTAATTTTTCCAGTCATAAAAATTTTGCACTGCTGACTTTGCACTGCTAACTTTATATACATCCCCGATACCCAGTTAATAATATTGCGATTGAATTCAAATTTTGGAGGTGATTGTATGATGGAAAAATGAAGTATGTGACATAGTAAACATTTTGATCTATCATTGGCGTGCGGTGTAAAAAGGGTTTTTTTTTTTTTGGGGAAAAATATATTAGGGCTTATTTTAGATAACTTTGAAGTAAAAACTTCTTTAGAATCGTTGGGAGTGATTTGAGACTCGATGAACCGAAAAAGCGACCCTATACAGGGTGTCCCACGGTGGATGGCGTATTAGACGTTTATGGAGAACTAAAAAGCGGATCATTTTGAAAATTTGGCAACCGGGATAAACGACCATGATCTACATTTTAAAAATATTTTTGACCATGCGGTGTTGCCGCTTCTACTCTAAACTAGTGGCAACATCACTATTTTAAATGGAACACCCCATATTAAATTGCATATTTGGATTCTACGTAAAATTCTGAGCAGATTTCATGTGATATACCCTATACCTAAGTTCAACTGTTTTGGAAATATTGACAGTTGAAAATTGACTTTTTGCAACTTTGACAGGCTGTAAAACCTAATTGGTTAATTTTAGAGGAAAACCGATTTCACATTCCTATCTTAGATTTTGATAAACTATCATTTGACACCAACTTTGAACTTAACCGGAGATTAAATTTAACTGAAATTTTTAATCATGGATTTAGAAGCGGCAACACCGCATGGTCAAAAATATTTTTAAAGTGTAGATCATGATCGTTTATCCCGGTTGCCAAATTTTCAAAATGATCGGCTTTTTAGTTCTCCATAAACGTCTAATACGCCATCCACCGTGGGACACCCTGTATATGAAACGAAAAAGCAACCCGATGAAACGAAACGAAAAAGCAACACTTTTTTAACACGCTTATATTAACACACAACAAGAACCTGGAACAAGCCAAGTGAGCTGGAACAAGTCTGGATAAATCTGGATGAAGTCTGGAAAAGTCTGGAAATCTCTGGAAACGTCTGGAAAGAGCCTGGAAATTTCTGAAAAGGGTCGGAAAAATTCTGCCAAAGGTCCCAAAAGACTTGGGGATCATTTTCTAGAATCCGGATCAGTCTGTACAAGTCTGGATAAGGTCTGGATAAATCTGGATAAAGTCTGTAAAACTTTGGATAAGTCTGGTTATTGTCTGGAAATGTCTGGAAATCTCTGGAAACGTCTGGAAAAAACTTGGAAATTTCTGGAAAGGGTTGGAAAAATTCTGAAAAATGTCCCAAAAGACCTGGGGACCATTTTGCAGAATCCGGATCAGTCTGAACACGTCTAGATGAAGTCTGGATTAATCTGGATGAAGTTTGGAAAATAGTATATTATATACCTAGGTAGAGAAGTTGGTCATTATATACCGAAAGCTTTTATAAACCGAGGCGCGCAGCGCCGAGGTTTATAATGCGTGAGGTATATAATGACTTTCTCTACCGAGGAATATATAGAATTTTTTTTACTACTGCTAGTAGAAAATAAAAAATTTGTTTAAAATCTGTGCTCTAATTATTTTTTGTGAACGCCCTCTTGAAAGTGCTGCCCTCTATCAACAGCTTATATAACTTCCTATGTACCTACAGAAACCTGTATTTTTTTTCAATTTGACGTATGAAATTGAAATTGAACCAATAGAAACACGACAATATCCTTGCGTCATGACGTCATTTTCATTATTGACCTAGGTATTTTTTCATTATTTTCATTATTAACCTAGGGAGAGAAATTCAATTTTTTCTTAGAAAAATAGATTGAATAATGTCTATTTCTCAGGTTAGTAGTAAAAAAAAGTATTTTATTGTCATTTATATTTTTCTTTAAACAATTGATAGTGACTAATAGGAACATGATGCTTATCGTCTTTCTGTTTACCAATTTTCTCTTCTTGTTCTGCAATAATTTGTTGCAGCTCTTCAATTTCCTTACTGTGGTCATCTTTCATGGTCTTGATTAAATCTGCTTGTTCATGTATCCTCTGTTCTACTGTTGAGAATTCTTGCCAAGCTGATTTTTGTACATCCTTCAAAAAATTTCATAAATTGTTTAGGTAGTCAATAATAATAGGTAGGCTACTATTCATTACCTTTAACTGATTTTTCAAAGAGTCCATCCGGAGCGCCATGTCAGACCCGATTTGTTTCACAGCTCTATTTTCAAGCTGTCGCTGATTCAATGCTTTCAGTAGAGTCTCTTGCTCAGCTACCATGTCTTTAGCGAAGCACATTGCTTTGTGTAGCTGCTTACGACAAGCGCTTCTCGATAGTTGAACTTCGTTCAGCGAATGTTCCAAATCAAGAAGTTTAGCTTCGCATTTTCTAGAAAAAAAAATCTAATCTGCGAAACTTCATCAACATGTCAAGAAACAGACCTACTTTTGGTCTTTTTCTGCTTTATACGCCTTCTCTTTGGCCAAGTCCTTAGATTTTTCAAGATCATTTATTGTTTTTGATAGATTTTCTATATTTTCTTTCAATTTCTGCTTTTCGTTTTCGTATTGCAGCTTCAACTCCTCATACCACCTGAAAATATTTAAAAGTGAAATTTGGTGAAGTGTCGAAAGTGACTTATTGAATCATGAGGTAGGATGAGTCATGTCTGAGCAATGAACTAAACAAACACATTGGAACGGTGACTGCATGCTGCATAATGTTTCTACGTAAGGGTTTGTGCCAGGAAGGACAACAAACAAGAGGGATTTGCATCTCTCTCTGCACTATGGCGGCTATTGAGAACAGCTGTTTGAAGTGTTTGGATCATTGAGGTTAGGAGGATAAGAAGCTCTTCTTTCTTTTACGTTAATCGCAATGAGCGCGAGCGAGACAACAATTCCTCTGTATTCCTGGGTTGCATATATCAAAATTCGGCACACTCGCATAAAGCAGTGCACCCGTTCCAGAGTGTTTGTTTAGTTCAATGTGTCTGAGAGATGTATAACTTTGACGTACAATATACGTTTTATCCTCTACTGTTTTTATTGAAAATCAAAATGTACGATCATTTTTTTCTCAAGTAATAGGTGGAACGTATTAGTAGCTAGTGTGGTGCCAAATTTGGTTTAAATCCGTTAAGGCGTTCTTAAAGTTATCTTGTATACAGACAGACAGACTGAAAGACCGACAGACATTTTGGGACTCAAATATCATATTCTTGACAAAATTTAAAAAAGTTAAAATTTCATGATATTATTAGTCCACATTTCCATTTCATTACCCTATGCAGGGCCGCCGCTAGAGTAGTATTTGCCGCCTGTTTGCTCAGATAATTTTCGTTACCCCACTCCCCTCTAAAGTACAAAATTAAACGTTGCATTGCAATACACGAATATAAATGATTTTTTCTACAAACGTGTTAAAAATGCAATTTTTAACACCCCCCCGTAGCATTAAAAATGTTACTTTATCGCACTAGTGCCATAAAGTCTTTATAGCACTAGTGTTAAAAATGAAACATCAAATTTTGAGAGCGAACGTCAAAAAAGGTTTGTATTTTTAGCTATTTACATTGATATTAATGGTGAAATTTGAACAACTGACCTAGCCCAATTGGCCACTTCATCTATATTTTCCAAAGGATCGATGCACCCCTCTTTTTCTTCTGTATTTTGTTGCATTTTTAGCAGAAAGCATTACTGAACACGACAGACTTCCAAGAAACTGACCAACTGACATAGGATTACCTGTAAAACAAGGTGCTGGTTGTTTGGATTTTTTGACAAATGTCAAATTCAATAATTTTATGTAGGAAAGATGCTTCCAATTTATTATTCATTTAAAAATCCAATTCGTTACTGGTTATTGCTTTTTATTGTCGTTTGTAGAAAAAATTTTGTATGATATTTGTGTTAAAAGTATTTTTGAGGCACTTATGTGAATTGCAGAATGAGCGAAGCGAAGCGAAAACAACTTTCACATGCGTGCCTTAAAAATGTACTTTTAACACTTATATCATAAATAACTATTATGGGATTTCTAATATTCAATTGGCTCGACGCAAACGCAAACGGAATCTCGACGGTGAGTTTATAAATTGAGCTTAAGAAGCGTATGAATGAGTCGTGGTAAAGACGAAGGAAGGACCACACAAAAGGGGGACGAGCATCTGTAGTGACGTCAGAAGGACATCGGCGCTTGACACTAATAGGCAATCCTTTTTGCTTGGTTTGTGTCAATCGTTCGTCGGCTGTCATTGTCGTTGGCTTTCTTTCTTTGTGTCTCTACGTTGCATCTTTCTTATCTCTCGAGTAACGAAATTTGCCAAAACGTGACGCGTCGTCCATATCACTCTCCATTCTTGGCCCAATATCAGACCGCCGCCGAAGTTTCACTCAGGGATGCTATTTCTAGTACAATTGTACTAGATCTAGCACAATCACGTTTCACCTAGTACGCTAGTACCTCTCTCATAAATCTAGTACAATTTGGATTACAAGTCAAGTGTCGCTCTTCGCTCTGTACCGTACCGTACCCGAGTTCTGCGCTCCACTCTCTACTTGTGGGTTGGGTTCCACGTTATCCATGTCCCACTACGGTGCAGCTAAATCCAAACAAGAAATTGGCGTTTCGAATATGAGGCACTTTTTGGCGAGGATAATCATGCATAATCTACGATGTCATTGATAATCTGATTATGCTGGGTTATGTGATGTGTCAATTGTGTCATAATTCCCTAACTCCCTCTCCATCAAATTCAGGGCCTGCGAGTGACGTTACTATCAGTAGATAATAGCGATGATGTCACCCGCAAACCTCGATCGAATGCTTGCTTGCTTCTCCATCAAATTCAGGCTATGCTAGTGAGTTAATTTTTTCGTCGATTTTAAATGTAGAAAAGATGATTTTCGGTCTGTTCTCACAGAACAAATTAAGTGTTCTTGATCCTCGAGTGTCCCAGAATTTGATGGTGGGGGAGTTAGGGGAGTATGACACAATTGATACATCACATCGTCGGTCTCATGACATAAGGCCCTATCTCGAGATAATGCCAAAATGAGTTAAGTTTATAGATATGTTGTATTTAGTGTATACTTGTTCTTAGCCAAGGGTCTTATCTTGAAATCAGGTCATTTCGTTAAAAAAGTGAGAAAACACATGGCCCTATCTAGAAATAGGTATGATTAGTTTTATCACAGCGTAAAGGCGAATATTGAGACACAAATGTTAACAACTATTTTGAAATGTGGTATTTGACAAAAAGCTTATTACATGATCTGTTGTTAATAATTCCAAAAAAAGAGACCAAAAATCAGTATAGTTCTTTGTATTCTATTGGCGTAAAGATATTAGTTTTCTTTTAATTGCTCTCCTGAAAACTTGTAAAAAACGAGATAGGGCCTTATGTCCTGAGACCGACGACATAATCAAGCAAAAGATTATGCTTGGTTATCTTCGCGAAAAATTGCCTATGGTTTCGAACGCACACGCACTTTTTTATTCTGCGACTGGGCGTGTCATGTATCGGTGGTTATTCGGTTATTCAGCGGATCATGGTAATCGGTAGTCGATTTGTAACTAAATATGTAGAAATTTATTTATTTCTATCATTCAGGGCCGGTTTCCCAATAGCGAGTCACCCCCAGGTTAAGGATAACTCTAGGTCAACATTGCAACTGGACACGTTTACCCTGGAGTTGAAACCAACCCGCTATTGAGAAACCGACCCTAAAACAAGTGATATTTACCCCCATTTAGCAGAGCCTACATTTGTATTCAAATTCCAAATTTGACGCGCTTTCAGCTAGTACACAATGTCGCCAAATTATTCCCTACTTTCTGGTACATTTTTTTTTAGTGCTGATAGCATCCCTAGTTTCACTTTAAAAACCTAATTAGTTTGGTCCGCTGTAATGTTCGGGTGCGTCTGTCGCCGACATTTGATATCCCAAATAAAGAATAAAATTTTACAACTAAAGTACTTGTATCATGATATTGTTATCAAAGGCAGGGATACAAGACAAAATTGTGAAAAAATACTTTCGGTTTATGTTCGTTATCAAAGCTTGATGGGTTTAGTTGTATTTGAGATTTATTTTCGATAGGTATGATTTATTTTGAAGCGAAACTTCTTAGGCGGCGGTCTGATATTTGGACGAGAATGAAGAGAGTCTTGAGAGACGCGTCACGTAACGTCACGTTTTGGGAAATCTCGCTATACGAGAAAGAAGAAAGATACAACGTAGAGAGACGGAGAAAAACAGCCGACGAACGATTGACACAAACCAAGGATTATAAGCAAGGAGGATTGCCTATTATTGTCAAGCGTCGATGCCCTTGTGACGTCACTACAGATGCGCTCCCCCAGTCTAAAAGTTGTATGAGGGGGGATAGTTTTTAATAAATTTCACGCCTGCCACGTGTACCTACGGCGGTGCACATAATTTTTTTTTGCATCAGGATCGACAGCGGCAACCGTTTTCAATCGGCCGCCTGTGTGTTTTGAACACACCGCACACATATTAGCGGCGGCCCTGACCCTATGGGTATGTCGACTAAAAGTTAAAAATATTTCCCAAACGTATTCTATGTTCTTGACAGTGTGGCGAAATATGATCTAATAGAACCTACGGATAACACAACTGATACACATAAAACCTACTGCTAGAGATACCTACTCATTCTGAGATTGTACTGATTCTGGTCTGACTGGTCTCTCCGAGCTAGAATATACACAATACCTATGTGACCACTGCCCTGTAAGATCATGAAGAGAAACCGTATTCTCATTCTCTAAGGGATTGAAGCTACGGGGATGAAAAAAACTGAAAACTATTTCACCCTCAAATCAAAAATTGGCGTGTCCAAACGTTTTTACCGATTTTCATTTCAAATCGAAAAAATCGGGATGGACTGTTTTCCCAGGGACACCCTGTAGGTACCTATATATTTATTACGCAACGACGCCACCGCCAAACAATATTATTATTATTTTGAAATGAATAATTGAAGTGAGATGCGACCTGGCTGTTATCTGTTATCGTCCTGGGGCCCGATTCTCGGGCAGGGAGTATAAGAGCTCCCCGATAGAACGAACTTTTGTGTCCTTGTCCACGTAATCGAAAAGTAAACGGGAATGATAAAGACAAAAAATTTGTTCTCTCGGGGAGCTCTACTCTCTAGCCCGAGAATCGGCCCCCAGAATTTAAGTAGAGCTGGGCATGGCTATAGAGACGGGCGTTATTGTACTTACCCTTTTTATCTATACGTATGGGTAGTAATCCCTAAACTAACTTTTAGCTCTTTGCTTTGATTTTTCGTATTATGTTTCAAGAAATAAAAACGTAATAATAAAGAGGATACATTGAAATTTTAAGGGTCGTTACGCGCTTCGCGCGCCGCTCCTAAGAATTTGCCGCCCGGTGCTACTGCACCCAAAAGACCCCTGGTTAAACCGGCCCTGGACGTCAGTCATGTTATGTTTGCATGTATTGTCTCGTTGCAGCCCGTGTATTCTGAAGATACGGAGAATTTGATTGGTCGATAGGCCGTGAATTCTGGTTTAGAATCCACGGGGTGTGTAATCTAAAGGCGCGTTTTCACGGGTCGATCTGAGTTGAACGGCCCGGGTCGTTCGACGACCATCTTTCGATCTGTGTTGAAAGCAAAAAGGTTTACACCATAGGCGATGGGCGATGTATGTTGAATAATTGCAAAATTGCGTCAAGTGAAATTATTGATGCAGGTGTGCAATTCATTTGTTGTGCGATTCGGAATGAAATAATGGCTAAATCGAAAAAAAAAAGAGAAATAAATGAAGGTGTTGGACCCGGCCATGGATTTTAAAACGAAATACCCACGGTGCATCACAAAATCTCCTTCGAGAATTGGTTGTAGAAGATCCAGCGGCATATAGAAATCATCTCAGAATGCATCATAATACATCACATCATAATATCGGGTCTTCAAAAAAAAAAACAATCGAAGATTGCTTTGATTACGAAAACGTACGTCGCATTACTGTTTCTTTATTGGTCAGGATTTTTGACATGACATTTTGACATTAAGTTCATTGACAAAATTAAAGAAAAATATTGCTAAGACATACGTTTGAAAAACCATAGCAATCTTTGATTGGTTTTTTTATTGAAGACCCGATATCATCATACATCAGAATACATCATAATTCTGATAAGCATCCAAGAATCTCGCCATGTCTGCATCTGACCATTTTTCACACATTTTTTCACATTATTATAGCGTGACGCACCAAAAATAAAAACTTTAAACAACACCATTCAGCGTTCGGCATGTTTTGTTTTCTTTCGGCGAGATGTTTACACATTCGATTCCAGTAGTTCGACTTCGATTCGTCGACGATCGCCTATAAAAGTAGACAACCTTTCTACTTCGGTCGAATCGACTCTCTCCGTCGAATGGCCAAGCCGAAAGGTGGTTTACATGTTCAATTTGCTTTCGTTTCAATGATCGACACAAATCGTTCAACTCAGATCGACCCGTGAAAACACGCCTTAAGGTAGAAATTATATCGTTAATTAGTTTACTTTCAAACGTCATACAACAGGTATTTTTGTGATCATTTTGACAAGGTGTAAGAGGCACTTCAATGACTTTCAGCTTGAGCGGCGTATAAATGTTATACTCCAGCGAATTATAACATACAGGGTTAGTAAAAAGTACTGCAACACTTAAATATCTTCAAAACTGCTTAAGCCGCGTTCACACGGACATAAGACTACGTGTAGCGCAAAACTGGGAAATCTGGCAACATTGCCAATAGCACTGCTGAATTCCGCATGTCTAAAAACTGTCAGAGTCCGAATTGTGTGAACGCGGCTTAAGCTGTTTTGAAAATATTTAAGTGTTGCAGTACTTTTTACTAGCCCTGTATATATACGCCGTTATACATATTTTTCCATAGCGATTTCAGGTAGTTCACCGTTCACCTGTACATACAGGTATAGGTGCTTATAAAGGTGATCCTTCTAAATATGAAGATCAATAAAAAATTGTGCACTTTTTGGAATAAAGAACGTTTGAAAATAAAATATTGTATTTCATTCGGAGTATAAGTATTCTTCACGTCACATAAGTATTACTTATACTCCTATGGCCATTTGCACCGACTATTTTAAGGAACCCTTAGCGATAAGTATTCCTTAAAGTGACATTTCTTCATTTCTTCATGTAAAAATGTCAATTTAAGGAATACTTATCGCTAAGTCTACCTTAAAATGGTGCGCACGGCCACTAATAAAATAAATATCTATTTTCAAACGACTTATAACAGTAAATTTTGTGATCATTTGACAAGGTATAAGAGTCACTTCGATGACTTTCAGCTTGAGGGGCGTATAAATGTTATACTCCGGCGGTTTATAACATTTATACGCCGCTATACATGTTTTTCCATGGCGATTTTGTGCTTATAAAGGTGATCCTCCTAAGAATTAAGAATGTCATAATTTAAATTAAAAATAGTGCACCATTTGGAATAAAGATCATTTGAAAATAAAATATTGTATTTCATTCGGTGTAAAAGTATTCTTCATCTGACTTGCATGGGTTTGATTTCCATGCCCGTCACAAAAGTAGGTATTTTTTATACTCCTAATAAATTAATAAATCTCTATTAATATCGAGCAAGAATGAATGCATTATTTAATGTTTGAAGAGAAAAAACATTATATATGTCCGATAGACCGATGATTTATGGAACGGTTTTGCGTCAATAAAGTAGCCCTTTATTTTACTGTAAAATAGAGTGCTACTTTATTGCCTACCTGGACTACCTGACAACCTGCCAAGGTGAAACAGGTATACTCGAATTTAAATTTTTCATTCAATTTTTTTAATTTTTGATAGAAAACAGTCGCAATCGGACATAAAATCATGTATACCTAATAACGCTAACATAAAAACGCTTTATTGAATCATTATTTCATTCGTACAATAAAGCCTTACTTTATGTGCTTGTTATATAAATAGATATTCTTACTTTTTGCATTCGTTGACACTGGCAGTATGGACAGAAACAGGAATATAATTTTGCCTTTCATTACGAAAATCATCCTGAGAATCGATCAAAGCCTTATTTTTCTCTTTCATGGAAGCATTTTCTGTACGCAACTTAATGTATTCGTCATGAACCACTTGGTAATCCCTTTTCATTTGTTCAACTTTATTCTCGTAAACTTTTAGAATCTCCTCAATTTTGTCTTGCTTTATGGCGCACTTTTTTATTAAAGCGTCGTTTTGATCTTTTGTAAGCTTCAATTCGGCCCTTATAGATTGTAATTGAACACCCAATTTTGCACTACAATTATCGTCAACCGTTAGTTTCTTGTATAAGGTTTCATTCTCCTCAATAACTTCTTTTATTTTACCAGTGAATTTTGAAAATTCAAATTCGTAGTTTTGGATTATTTCAGTTTTTTCATTAATCGTGTCTTGGTAAGCATCTGTAAAACAAGTTACATCAATATGAGCTATTAGTCCCACAAAATATCTTGTCACCTAACAAAGGTCCTAAAGTATGGCTGTTCACTGCTCCCCATGATATAGGAGTATGCCTATGATCCTTTGACAGTATATTGATAATTTCATCTTCTTTAAACTGATCAGTAGAAGAAAACTTTTGAGGTTGAAGATGAGAGTATTTGTCCATTTCTATGTTGTATTTCCTGAGTTTTTCTTGGTAACGTTCCAACTGGACATTCAATCTAAAATAAATTATAAATTATATTGGATGAACTATTCTTTGAATAGTTCGTACCTAAACACAACAGTTTTTAGCATACCCAGATCTTCCGTAACTTCATTATTGACTTTTCTTAGTTGTTTAGTTTCTTTATCAACTTTTTCAATTTGCTCCCTTAATTCGTCACATTGATTGCACACTTTACTTAGTTCTAATTGTTTATAAATTTCTCCATAAGATTCGTGTAATTCAGAATACTGACTTTTTATTATTTCGTTTTGGTTAATTACGTCTTCGTATGCGTTCTGTAAATTATTAATTTTTTCTTTTAACTTTAGAATTTTTTTGACTGACAAGTCTTCAAGTTCATTAAATTTGGCCGTTATATCTTCATTGTTTTGAGTCAATCTTTCAATTTCTTTAGTCAAATGTTTTTTACTGATTTTAGTTGACAGGGAAAAATCTTTGTCGGGAATTTCGATTATAACTTCACTAATATTCGGTATATTGTCGGTACTTAGGCATTTGTGTTTATGCTTTCTTGAGGTAAAATTTGCCGAATATACTTTCTTTATTTTTTGGTGCTCAGGAGGTATATTATCTCTTTCTGGTTTGTGTACTGGAACATCGACGTATTTTCTCCGTGGTTTAATTGATGGTATATCATTAGTTATCATGACTTATTAATCTACACAATAAAAGAAAAAAATATAGGAAATTGAAATGTTTTACTACATATTAGGTACCTAATTCAAAACACAAATATTTTAATTGGTTATACCAATCGCAATGATAACTTTTATTAGGTCGATTTGAAGAAAGCGAAAAAATTACATACCTCTAGTTAAAATACAAACTCGATCACGGGTTACCCAGTTCTACCACTAATTGCCCCAAAGGAATTTATTGACTAAACAACTTAAATATCTATTGAAATGTCAAAAAACCAGTGCAAACTATTAAGTAGGTGCCATGGAAGACGTTTGTAAACAAATACATCGTCACGTATCAATGTGGTAATTCTACCTTCGGTCGCTATGGCAACCCATACCTACATATACCTATGGTTTATTCTGACGCTTTTCTGTGATTCATGTGTAAAACTAACCCTTTTGGGCTCTCAATGAGGACTTTTTAGTGGGTTTTCGCAATGCAGATTCATTCCTCAGTCAAGATAATGCCGGAAAATATTGAGCCTAATGAATAAAAATCAAGCAATTACTTGTAGCAATTGCTATTTAGCAAAAGCAATTGCTTTATTAGCAAATGCTACAAGTAAAAGCAATTGCTAGATTTTGATATGAATAAAATCTTTGAGCAAATGCTGCTTTATCCAACATCTCTCTAGCAATTGCTTACCTATAAAATTTACAAATCGTCGCCCTAGTTGTGAATGGAATGGTCGTAATCCACTCAAGGTAAGTTGTGAGTAAAGTGCATTTAAAATTTTTGTTTTTGGTGAAAATATGCTTTTTAATTAGCAAATATACTATAACAAGGTCAAATATTGATCACTGGCTTAGATCTATTCACCAACATAAAATTTAAACATTTTTAAGTATGTTAACAGCAAGGTTAACAGTCACAACTCAAGAATGAACATTGTGTGGATTACGACCATTCACAACTAGGGCGACGAAATAAAACCAAACTAGAGATTACTTCACCACGACAACGTTATATAACTCGTTCTCTACAAAACAAATTATTGTAATTATATTGCTCTGAGGTGACAGGATTTCTCAATGGAATCATTAACCAAGGTGTAATATCCCTCATCACATGTAAGCATTATTCAGAGGAATTGTCAAGAACGATAAATGCTTAAATTTTTGAAAATTCTATTACTACACTAGTGAACATGTCTTCTTCAGCGTTGCATGTTGCTTGCACATTGATGGCTGAAAGGCCTATTAATGTATTCATCCCCATATATAACTCGAATTTAGGTATTCTGACATGATGCGTGCAATCTTTAACACCTATTGCATTTGGAAATGCATATTTTTCTGACCACTGCCGTTGCATCATTAATATCAGCAATACTTTCTGAACATTTAATCCATCCATGAGATTTTCTCAGGATGCAATTCATAACATTATATCGTGGATCTTGCAAATTGTGGATTGGTGTACCTATTCCAATTTCCTCCGCTCCAGGATCTACTAGAGATTGCGAAAATACTTTCATTTTAGTTAGCCGTAAAAGTGCTCCTCCACGGCTTTCGCCTGTATCATCTAAAAAATAATTAGCTAACCACTCCACATTTGCTTTATTAAACCAATAAAGTTTTTTAAAATCGCACTCTTGACAATTCCTTCTCACAGAATACACTTTATTTGTGTGAATATATGCATTCGGCCATTTTGTAAAAGGTGAGGAAACGCTTGCACACTGCAGGAAACTAATACCGCAACTGAAAATTATTTGAAGTATGGTCTAGGGCATCCTTAACTATTTGTAAGCAATTGCTTTGAAAATGTAGCAAAAGCTAATTTTATCCATACAGTTTCTAGCAAAACCTTGTTTATTTTAAGCAAGAGCTGTATCTCCTAGCATTTGCTTGTGCTCTAAGCAATTACTTAGAGCTCTAGCATTTGCTTACCATTTTATTCATATAATTAGAAGCAATTGCTCCAAAAACCTAAGAATAAGCAATTGCTTATATTTTATTCATCAGGCTCATGTAGAATATAATGCGTATTTGTTTCAAACATCCCTCATTTAAATGCAATTTGACATGGACCTGTATGTACATACAGTTGCGATCAAAAAAAAGCAGTACAAAAGTTATTGGCCCCAATTTGAGCTCCCGGTGTAACATACAAAATTTCCCAGCAAACATGTAAACAAACATTCCAGAATAGTTTAGGCAATGACATATTCTAGGTTTAAACCTAGTGCAAAAATGCCAAAGTAATGTCATCTGAAGCTTTCTAGGGCCGTGTTCGTTTTTGTCATCTTTTTCGTCGATTTGCTCCGAAATTTTGACAGGCACGTGACTGGATCAGACAGTTTCAATTTACAAATCACGTGCCTGTCAAAATTTCGGAGCAAATCGATGAAAAAGATGACAAAAACGATCACGGCCTAGGTTAAAAATTTGTCGGAGAATGCCAAAAATATGTAATTTTTGGTTATGAATTATACTAATGTATAATAGATCAGAGAGATTTTGGAGATTTTTCTTGTACTACTTTTTTTTTCATCGTTGCCTTGTTTTATTAATTATGTTTTAAATTTTTAATTTTTTGTTTTAAATTTTTGCGTTTGCAACGCTCTCATTTACAAAATTTAAACAAATTCGTGTTGACTAGTTTAGAAATCAAAAACATTTTGTGTTCGTAACATTTTGAATCCTTACTTCCCCTAAAAACTCTTGTTCTCTTATTTTCGTAAACATTTTTAAAAACACTTCCATGGATCTCTTCACTAAATTCTCGGCGTCTTTAGTGGGTACGGTTAAATATATATTTGTACTGCTACCATAATTTTTATGTAGGATTAAGAGTTGGTTATCATCATTTAATAAATTATCATCATTTAATAAATCATCAGGGCTGGGACTCTGTAGCGAATAAAGATATTTTCTCTATCTCTATCGACGTCTCCTGTCTATTGATTTTGAAAAGAAAGAAGAAGACAGCAAGTGCCATAGCGATAGGGATAACGATGTCTATCCGTTACAGAGTTCCAGCCCAGACTTCTCTAATAGACCGATCTCCTATTACCTGGACTGCGCGCGTCGCTTGTAGGCTGCAGGTGAGCGTCCAATGAGAAGCAAGTTTATGACAGGCTTGCGTCATATTCTTATTCAGGGGCCAGTTCAGAATAAATCGTTCCTTCTTTCTTTGTAACGTGTAATTTGACAAAGAGCAAACTAATGGCGTATTCGACTACCCAGCGCTGGCTCCGATATAGTTCGAAAAATAAAGATGCAGTTGCGCTAAAATCCAGAGCGGGTATGTGGCGATTCGATCGTGCGCTCGGTCAGTGCGAATTGTCAAAAAAAGTGAACTGGCTTCGTGAAAATCCGAGTTGAAGCGTTCGTGTGTGCCCCATTATTGCACTTTTTAAGAAAAAAAGCCATAAGTATTTAATTCATCATCGTCATTTTCTGAGCTACTGCTACTACTATTTGATGATAATACATCTGCAGCTAAACAACAATTTCCCCTTTTTATTATTTCATATTTCACAACCTTTTTTGTAAACAAACATTCAAAAAATTTGAGGTAATTTTTTCAAAGAATCCAGTGCAATCTACTTGAACCGCCAAAAATCACAGTTCCAAAAAGTTCGAACGCTGGACGAACCACGCTAACAATCCAAACATAAAGTATTGCTCTGCCCGCGCTTAGCTCGGGTAGTCGAACACGAGAAATGTTTGCTTGCTTATGAGCTGAATCAACCCGAACATAAATTATTCCACTGCACTCGCAAAATGCGAGCCGAGTGCGCACTAGTGCCGGTAGTCGAATACGCCATAATACTTTACATATTACTTGAACTCACCGCAGTTTCGTTTAAGGTTATGTTAGATTATACTTGACATATTCCTTTGCAATCTCATTGAGCGATGTTGCCGGATGGAACATTTATCAAAATGCAAACGATGTTTATCCACTTTAAAGCTCTCCTTTTGTCTGATTCAAGGCGTTGTGAAACACTTGAGACTATATTACTTCTTTAATGTTATGTAATGTTGTTCCATTTTTATTCTCTACATTTGTTCTGCAACAATACAATCTGGCTACACTGCAGCCTACGAGTTGCGCGCGCATGTCATCTTTTATTGTTTTCTAACTTGTATTTATTACAATGAAGCTTCCTTTTTCTAATCATGGGAGATAGGTCTATTGCGAGGAACATTCTCTACACACAAATTTTTCTTTTACACTTTTAATTAAGTATCCTGCATAATATACCACTTAGTGGAGCGAAACAGAGGCAAAAAGTCGCTTATTTACCGAGATAAAAAAAATTAGCATACAACCAGGTGAAATGTTTATATTATTGTTAAGTATCTTAGTGGCTATTCGAAATGGTGATTTACGATATTTTTTAGTGGTCGAGAGTTTTTTTTTTTTAGAAAAATAGCACCAATTTGGATAAAATCGAAAAATGTAAATTTTAAGTTCACACTCTAATATCTCTAAAACTAACAAAGCTAGGAAATCGACTTTTTTACCAAAATAAAGTCCATTTATTGGGCTTTCTCTAACAGACCTATACATTGCTGTACCGAAATATGTTCTATATTTTTTAAATGACGTTTTAACTGTTACGTCACAAAATATGACTCTAAAATTTCACTAAACGACAAACTTTTTTATTTTCAACTTTTTCCACATACATGCTGCGAAACAAAGAAAGAAGAAACATTCAAAAAGTTTTTAAAGTGAAAATCTTTTATCTCCGATGTATAGTTTTTTTGCTATGAATTTTACAAAATCGCGAAATCCTGAAAATTCAGGCGCAGCGTGCGTGCACGGGATTGGCCGACGTCAGCGGCTTGTCGTTTTTACGCCATTTGGCCATTTAGTAGGTACGATTTTGTAGCTAAAAATATAAGATCTGTTTCTGCAGAAATCACAAATCAGACAGAGTGAAATTCATTAGTTGAAACTGGTTTTCTGACTGACTGTTTTCGACCAATGAAATTCGCTCTGACTGGTTTGTGATTTCTGCAGAAACAGACCTATATTTATAATATGCAGACGGGTCAGTTTTTTTTTTAAGCTAGAAGAATAAAAATAAAACCAATATTTTTTTTAATCCTTATAATAAAGTAGGTACCTTGTGTTTAGTACCTATTCAACCTCCTCTTCTTCATTTTCAGACACCTCCGTTTGTTCCATGATTTATTTTCAATTTTTGCACTGCTTACAGCTACACTCATAACAACATTTTAG